TTAATCTAAGCTATAAACGTTTTTTTTTTTACTTTCCTCAAAGCATTGATTTATGAATGCTGCTTTAACTGCATTTTGCTATATGGATGTCTTGCTTTTTTGTCAGACTTTCTCTCTCACATGCAGTCCTTCTATCACAAATATAACTCATGTTTTCTAATTGTCAGTACCTTCCCGAACATTGTCACAAACGAAAAGACAATCCATGTCCTTTAACACTAAGTATGATGAATACCTTCTCATCTTAACATTGAAATGATCCTCTCCCAAGCTGCCCTTTTAGCCAGCTCAATACTGAACAGCGCTTGATTAAATCCCATCAGAACAGCTATTTGGATCAAGGACCTTGATTAAAATGCAAAAATATGTTTGCCTATCTACTGTTAAGCTAAAACCTCAACCTCAGCTTGCCTGAGACTAAACAACTAAATTAGAGAGCAGACTCATTTAAGTTGTTTATACCCTAAAACTATATGCAAAGTTTTAGTGATTCATGAATAAACATGCATACTGTGTGCAATGTTGTCATTATCGTTACATCAGCTTCTGTTTCATAACTGAGATCCACTGTGAAATGAAGTATCCTGCAGACATGTAGGGCTGTAATGTATATCTTCGGGATGCATTTTACCTTACTTTATGCATTTCTTGTTGCATCAAACCCTGCACTGCACCATGTCATTAATATTTCACACCTTCATGCGGTTCTCTTAATGAGTAATGTGATCTGTAAAGTTCTTGATTGGAGATGGGAGACATGTACAAGTAGACAGCATGTTATTTCCTCAAAGGTATGCTGTGGGTTAATAAAAACTCTGACCGTTGACCAGAACAAGTCAGTCGTGCATGAATGTGCTGCAGTCCTAAACGTAGTGTTTTATATAAGACTGCCTCAGTATATTTTTAATTAACATCTGCCTTGAGGCAACTAGTTAGATGCAAACAGAAAAAAAAATATTGATGCATACCAATAATCTGACAATCCAGCAAGGGGTAAAACATTCCCCATCTGGTCAAGTTTAAGTTTGTTTGATGGAATCTTCTTCAAATAATAAATAATCCCATGAATAAATTCACTTAATTTAGCAGAAGTTATCCTTTTGGAACTGGAGTTTGTCAGCATAAATGAGTAACTTAACTGCAACTGTTTATTTAAGTGTATTAATAGGAGTTCTTCAGAACTATTTGCAAATGAACTTATCAGCTTGTATTTTAACTCACAGTTGTTATTTATTAGTTTATGTCGGTGTTTTTAAAAGGATGTTTGATTCTTGATGTTTAGTTAAACATGGTTATGAACAATTAAAATATATCCTGAATATACCTGTCTTGTCTTGGCCTCTTCCTTGAGGATTTATCCACTTCAATATGAAGCTTGAGATTTAAAGAGCGACCAAGATCAAAGAAGCCTTCAAAGATCTCAAAATAAAACTCAAAGGTGTCATCAGGGTTTATAGGGCCACAGTTTAATGAACCTTTATATCAATGACACTATTGTATCAGAGATAAAAAAGCAGTGCACCACCTGTCTTACAGTATAAAATGTAATTTGAATGGAAGCAATAACACAGGTTGTACTGATTCAGTTCAGCAGTCCGGTGAACATAGTAGGGATCTTAGTTTTGACCCTGAACACATTTTGATGTATTCAGAAGCATCCCGTGTGCCTTTTACAATGATGTGCCACCCAATGTTTGGTCACCTTATTACTGCTTCCTGCAATGACAGTACCTGTTCTGTTTACAGTTTTTAAGCATCTCTTTTTGGTTAGTAGTCAGACCCCTATAGCAACTTGCTGAAGTTTTAGCAATCTTTTCTGGGTTTTACAGATTTTACAAGTAAAACTAGAAAAAGTTATTTCTGAGAAACAGCAAAGTGGGAATGCTTTTTTCTGCTGAAGGAAAAAAAGAAAAATTGGCTAAAGAAACTGAATAATGGAAAAAAGCAGAAATTAGCTGAAAAACCTATAAAAATGTGATAGGAAGTAATCAGAAACTTCAAACTGTAGAAAACTATTGAATTATCTGAAGATGTTGTAGGGTAGAATATTTGACAGAAGAATGGCAGAAAAAGACTCATCTTAAAAGCTGCACAGCCAAACCATACATGATATCAAAAAAATGCCTTCAATAGGGCCAATAGGGCCCATACAAGTGATATTGGGGCTCCCCCGACTGATCACTTACGCCTTTGAGGGCTCCTGAAGGACAGAACAAGGACAAGCCCATTGGCATGAAGAGCTGTTTGCCACTTGGCTGAAAGCTGTGAAATAGATTCCGTAAAAGTTTAAAAACAATCCACTGGACATGGTTTCCAAGGTTTGAAGAAGTTTCACTCCCCCTCAAGGAAGCTTTCTCAATTCAAATGTCTGGATCCGCAGTGAGTTTGAGTCTTTATATAGACAAGGCTTTGTATTGCTTGAAAACATGCAAATTGAAACCGACGGGCGGGTTGTTTGGTTCCATTGTTAGCCTGTAAAATCTGAAAGCTGTCTATGATTCTGAAGGTCGGTCGTTAAAGGGGGGATTGTCTCCTGTAATACCTGAAACCTGTTTATAATTGTTAATGGTCGGTCGTTAAAGGAGGTATTGTTGACCTGGCTGAAGAGAGGAGGTACTTTATTCCTCTGTGATGGGATGGGGGTGTGGCGATACCTGGAAGGGATCATGTCTATAACTGAATTGTAAGTTTTTGGAAGCTGGAATCCACCACCTCTGTTTAAAGTTGTTTTTTCTCTCTTAACATAGATGGCTTCCTTCACGCCCCTCTCAAACCACCTATTTTCTTTTTCCAGAATGTGAACATTCTGGTCCTCAAAAGAATGTCCTTTGTCCACAAGGTGTAGATGTACTGCGGAGTCTTGTCCAGATGAGGCCGCACTTCTGTGTTGGGCCATGCGTCTGTGGAAAGGTTGTTTGGTTTCTCCAATATAAAGATCAGAGCATTCCTCGCTGCACTGAAAAGCATATAAGCAATTAAAAAAATTGTTTCACCGTGAGCGTCAGCCATCCCTCACCTTTGATTGTGCCAGGTTTCATGTTTCTACTAAAAACTATGAGGACACGGTAAGGATGTAAAAATGTTGTTTGTTTTGTAAGATTTCAGTCTGAGACTTTTTCCCAAAATCAATGTTTTCCTATGCCCTAACGAATTGGCTAAAAAGCTAAACCATAAATGATATCACAAAACAACTGCAATGTGAGCACTAGAGGGGTCTGGAGATGTTCTATACCAAGTTTCATGTTTGTACATCAAATGGTTGAGAAATGGCAGAGATACGAAAAAAATTGCTGTTTTGGATTTTCATCTGTGATTTTTGGAAAGTCTGTCATTGGATTTCTATTGGGGGAGTGTGGACTTCTTCGTGGTCTGGGCCAAACTGCCATAAAACAGTAGATCCCACACAAATGAGGGTTATGTTTCCTGAATCTTTACAAAAATTCCTACGTTTTGATGTATAATTTATTTAAATTGAGTGAAAAATTAGGGAGTGAGAATAATTTTTTTGGAAAAAACAGAACAGCTCAAAAGCGAGAGCACTTACTCTAACAGTTGAAGAATTCCGCTCATAGACTTACATTATAAAATTGAAAACCTGAAATTTTTTTAATAAAATTTGAATCCCAATTTTACAAAAAACTGTCAAAGATATCAAAAAGCTGACTTAAACAGAAATAGTTTAATGTTTGGAGAACATTTTAAAAGTTGAATGGTGTTTGTAGCTGACAGTATGCTAAAGTAGTTAAAATTCAAACAGGCTGAACTTTTAGCTGAAATCTGAGAATTCTTCATGCATTTGGGACAAAAAAAATGCAGAAAAAGCTGAAAATCGTGAAAACTACAAAAAATATCTTTACCAAAAGATAGCATAATTCTCCTCAACAAGCTGAACATTTTGATATCAAAATTGTTGAAATCGGTTGAAAACTGCAGGACTAGTTAAAGTCAGAAAAATAAAAGGAGCAAAACAATAAGTGGGAATGCACAAACATGATAAATATTTATAACTGGTCTCCCCTTTGCATCAGTATATAATTGTCCAATTGAAATTTAAAACAAGGCTTAGATATTTCTTTTTAGAATAGTGTTTTTTAAGAGAGAATAAGTAAGAAGTTCAGTTTTAACTCTCTGTATCTAGTCATGCACTTCTGGCTCCTGGTTAATTTTACCTGTATTATATTAAATAAATATGCCAAAAGCCTGTAAGATGTTAAAAGAGAAATTTTAAATAAGCAAAATGAGCAAAACAGGACTTTGCCTTTGGGGAAATATCAGGGAAGGACGAGCCTTTGTAACTGCTTCGAAGACAGCAAAAAAAAAGAACTTTTATAACAGCATATTACTAGAAAAACAGTTTTACAGGTTTCTGTAATTAAACTAAGTTGATAATGATTCCCTGTTGCATATGCAAAGCGACAGAGAATTGCCATCTTATATTTGGATCATTTTACCTTGGGCAACACCACAAAGGTAATTAAAAACATATTCAAAAGCAGCCAACTGTCCTTTAAAAATTATTTCTTTTGGAAACTACACATTTCAAAGAGGGCACATTTCTAAGATAGACCACTTTTTAGCATCCAGTGGCCTTAATAAGGTGTTACATAAATCAAACTGTAATAGAACAATAGGAGGTGCATAGTCTATCACTAAAAGACTTAAACTCAGAGGCAAGAGCTGAAGACACTAAATTGGTCTCTGAATCTTGACTTTGCTAAAGGGTAGAATTTTAAATCTTTTCTGAGAAGCATTAGTGCACATTATATTTAACACCAATGTGTTTGTCTCTGGACAAACATAAACTAATGGCTAGAATTTTTTGTGAGTAAGCTTTATATAAAAATGCAGTTGTACAAACTGAATTGCTTAACAGTGGTCATGTAGAGATACACAAAAGATAGATTAGGTGTGGGTCTTCTGGGAAGAGAGAAAAATAAATCTGATCCGTGATTATTCATTACCAAGTCAAAGAATGACAAGAGAAAATAATATTGGTTATTTTCTTTTTATTTGCACTTTTATTATTTTTTTTTGTTTGTTTTTACTTCAGATAGATCACAATGAACACAGCCTTTAGACAATAGCAGTTGAAAATAATCCATACAAATAAAATTGTCTCTGGTCTTTTTACCAGCTGTTTAATGTAGGGTGGAGCCCTATGTAATCAGTGTGGAACCTGTGGATGAGGGAACAACACTGACATCATTGGGTGCTTAATTTAACAAACCAAAAAGGCATATTGTCTGTGTGTTTGTGAAGCAGTGACTGTCTGAGTCTGTGTGCAGTTGCATCCATGTGAGTAATAGACCAGAGGTGGTTAGCCACATTCAACAAGGTCTTTCCCTAATCGCTTGGTAAAGCCAACAAGTCTCAAGTGGGCAAAAATATCACACTCTATGCTTGAGTAATGCACTGCCAACAGTGTAAGATGCCAGTGTATAATTAGACAATAATGAGAGACCCTACATTGCATTCAATCTCTAAACTTCTGAGGCCAAACTATGCATTGGCCCCAAAAAGCAGCCTCTGCTCTATTAAACAGCAAATAGCCTGAGAAAAGGGGCCATGGCTTAGAGAATTCCTTCCATAGACTGGACTCTGTGCATTTCCTCACCCTTGATTTGTAAGCATGCAGACAGTGGCCAGGGCAAGGGAACACCATTAGAGAGGACAGTACTTTGAATTGTGGCAGCAAGAGTAAAATATGTTGTGTGATGAATCTGCATGCCTGCTGCGTTTAATGGAATAAAAATCAACAATGAAATAAAAATCTGATCGGAGTTTAAACTAAATATGAAGATGACGGAAGTTCAGAAAGAAGGGAACTGGAGAATATATACAGAAATCAAGCAGGTAAGCACATACAACAAGTAATGCTGCTCTAGCTAAGAGGCAGACAAATGAGCTAAATGAAAAAGTAATCATTAGGGCAAATATGGAAGAGTCAAATTTGTCCCGGTAATGTTTATGCCCTCTCTTTTATTTAATTTTCATTGCTTATGAATAACATGAAAGGCAGCGTGTTGCTTAAACGCACTGGTGTTTCTGTGTGCAATGACATTCCTGTCTGGATCACTACTGCAGCGAAAATTTGAACTGTTTGTGCTGCCTTAACATAAGAGTTGTCTTATTCATCCAGATATAGGAAATTAAAATATAAGAGAAACAAATACATTTTCTTTTCTGTCCATGCATCAATGCCCCATCTTAAAATTCACTTCTGCATTTATCCTGCAAAAAAGAGTAAGGGTAAACCTATACCAAATAGTTTCCAGATGAAGGACAGGAGAAAAAGCAACAGCTGTTCTGATCTTTCAAAGGAAAGTAAGCAAAAAGCCTAAAAAGGAAAGATGCAGCACAATAAAAATCCCAAACATAAAAGAAAAAATGGATGTATGTGATTTTCCTATATAACAAAATATTTAGGTTTTCTACTTCAACATACTGCATTTAGATGCCACAATACGTCACTGTTCCCTCTCAAAGCTGCAGGTTATATACATTTGGTGATTGTGGTAACATTTTCCAGAAATCATCATGTAGCCTACTGTTCTATGCCCCTTAATGCCAGGGATTTTTTTTAAAAAACACCCTGCGATAGTATATCATAATGGCCCAAAGGTGCCAAAATTTAAAAAATAAATGTTTTCTATCTCTTTTTTAGGAAATCCTGGATGCATTGTATAAACCATGTACCCATACCGAGAATAAGTAAAATCCAAAAAAAACTTCAGATAGAATTTCAGATGTCAAGTTTCTCTGCAAATTATGGGATTTCCAACATGTATTTAAGTACATACATAAACAACACAGACTTTTGAAAAAGAACCTGTTTTGGTCTTTTGTAGGAAATGCACATTCTGGTGGACTAGGTCTTGAGAAGCAGTCACAAGGCTCCACAGATACAACAAGCTCTCTGCAGAGACAGTAAGGCAGTTTCATGATCACCAAGGAAACCACTCCACTTTTCATATGGCGGGTTTCTTTTCTTTTTTTTTTGGAAAGAAAATAGAAACGGAATGAACAGAAAATATGCGGACTTGTTATTGTTAAAGAAAATAGCTGCCTTATAAAAATTTGCTCAGTAAAAATAGTCAAACAGTTTTCTTGTTGCTTTTTTGTTGTTGGTTTGAATCTTCTTCCAGATCAGCTGGCTCATTAAGCTTTTAACAGTTATTGTATTTGATCCAGCTGGATCTCAGGGTAAAAAGCGGCGACATCTCAAAAGCACTGAGACCAGCCTTACTGCAAAGATGCAGGATACCGATGAAAAAAAGAAACAAACAGAAACCCAAACTAAAGCAAACTCACAGAGTTCGACAGCTACTAAGGCAACTTTTGCCAAATACAATATAAGCCCATGTATATTGCAACACAACCATATATTAATTTAATAAAATACACAATATAGCTTTTGTACACATAACAATTTGGCTCAAATGCACAGAAATTGCAGTAAAATTAATAAAAATATGTCAGTTTTTCTGATGTAAACACATCTAAATTGGATACATATACACATATAATGATATTACGTATAGTGATAATGTGAAGGGACATTTTATTGTTTTGTCATATTTTTGGATCGTTGTCTTTAAAACAATGGCAGTGTCCTTTGCAGTTCTTTCTTAAATACCTCCCACATGACTTCTACTTCAGGACACTTTTAATGTCAAATTCAACTTTTTTCTCCTTATAAAATGTATAAATATTTTGCTGATATTCGGACACTATACATGGATTCATACATACAGTCATCTATATAACCATATAGATATTATCTTTTCACAGCTGAGGAAAGAAAGGTCCCTTTTTATACAACTTGATTGCCTGATGGCATAGTCACAGACATGATAATTCACTGTACACAAGGGACTAAAAGCTGATGGTGTACATGTATAAGACAAATCCACAGATGGGCAGTTGTATGTGAGCATTCATTTGTTTCATCTGCATTCTTGTGTGGTGTCAATGTGTAAGCGTGTGTGTCTGCAGAGTGGTAGTGGACATGTGATGACGTTGATGCGTGCAACTACTTTGCTCAGCAACATGAACATTTAAATAGAGGTGTGAGACAGACACAGCTTACATGTAGTTACAAAATGACCGGTGAGACATGGTTACACTGTTAATAAATCCGACTGAAACAGATCTGGCTGGTCCATAACAACCCCCTCCCCCCCCGAATAAAATCTCTTCAGGTATAGATCTGGTCCATCACACGCTACACTTGTTTATCAATTGAAAAAATGAAACAAAAAAAAGAGTAAAGTTGTGTACTTCTGTCTTTCACTGTCCGAATAGATCAACTTTTATATTTTTTTTTCACATCGATTGTCATGTCTGACCGCACATAGTCCTTTTTCATTCAATTTTAATGTCCAACACACAAAACAGAAATCCACCTACGCACACTTAAAAAGATATGTAGGTTTTCACAAGAGACCATGAACAACACACATATGAGCTGGTGGGCACTTAGATAAGAGCTTGCGAGGTGCCAGAGGCTTAAACCCCTGCAATTTGCTTAAGAATCCAAAAAGTTTAGAAATTCAGAAAAAGTCAGAAGTCAGTTCCTCTTTTTTGTTGTTCTTGGTTGCCACTGGACTGACGTAATAAAAGTTTATCTTGTCCTTTTTTGTACTTTTCTACAACAAATACAGTGACAATAGTTCCAGTCACCAGAGCCATTTACCCTTTCTGATTTGTTTTGGTGACTAACAGTTTTGGCATGAAAGTCTTAACAACAAACTCCGACCTTTATCCTCACATCTCCTTATGTTGTGGTTCTTTGAGTCATTTTCTCAGTGTGCCAGAGGCCTCACTATCTCTGCAGTCTTGCAATAGTTTGTCAATGTCTCTCACCACCTGGTCAGCGTCCATTCCACTGCGGTTTGAATCTGGTTCTGCCTGCTCTAGGACGCGCTCCATTTCACCCGCCGCCTCCTGACTGATTCTGGAGCGGGCCTCTGCAAGGACCTTGGCCACCGGATCTGAGGAAGGCAACGGTGGGTAGACCCCTTGGTCTCTTGTTTGTTTAGTAGGTGACATGTATTGGCCATCAGGTGGCCCATAGTGGATCGAGCAGCTTGCTGGGGGAGGTTTGCCCTCAGCCCCATCTGCTGGGCCTTTGACTGCAGAACAGGGAGGCATTGTGGAGCATCCTTTGGTAGGACTGCTGGAGGCTGACGGTACTTCTTGCAGCAGGGGGCTGAGGGCACGTTTTGCTTTTAGGTAGGGCTTGACGTTGGCGACCAGGATGGTGTGGTCTCGTCTCTCTTTTCCAAATGTGCAGAAAGTTTTCTTGCCATTGGGGTTTACAGTCTCATAGGTCTCTGTCTCAGCAACCACCTCCATCCCGGCCGGCACAAACATATTGTTGCGGTAGTCAATGCCTTCTGCCTGGTTTCCTCCTGCAGGAAACTGAGGCATCCAGCAGCGGTCAGAATGACCAAGGACTCTGCATTCCTCTGTGCAATTCAAACAATCCTCATCTGTAGACAAAAATAAAGGGAAGGGGATGAGAAGAAAGCAACATTAATGTCAAACATCCGGATAAAACTAAATAAAACAATTTGACGGTATTTAAATATCAATCATATTATAAACCAAAGTATAATACGTCATTTTAAACAAACAATTGGAAAAGTTCAAGCTAAAGTAGTGAAGCTCAAGCCCCCAAAAATAAGAAAGAAGAGCAAGAAATGCTTTTCCCATTCTTAGTGCACATAAAAAACATATACACCATGTGCACTTAAGCACACATAGATGCACACAGCTTTCCAGGGGAACCGGGGGACACCTGCTTGCATTTTTCCAAAGCTCTGATCAAGGGGATGGCAGAGCATACAGAAAAGATGGGAAGGGAGTGAGAGAAAAACAACAACGGTTCAGGTTTGGCAAAGGCACTGTGGCGTTATCATAAATTCATGTCAGTGGGCTTTGAAGTCCTCCCTAGATAGAGAGCCTGTGCCAAACGGCTTGTGCTTCTTGCCTGTGTTTGGGCCTGTTTATTTGTGTGTGCCTTGTAGTTGCCTTGTGTGTGCATATGAGTGTGTTTCTCACTTTCATCTCTATTCAGAAGGATGCACACTTTGGCTGATTATGGGACTGTTTTTTCCTGTGTAAAGCAGATCCAAAACTTGGTTAAAAAAACAGGGGAAAAAAATCTGGATTTTTTTTTTTTTTGTTTTTGCTGTTGATCGAAGAGAAGAGGAAACACTGTGTGGCACAAAAGGGTTTCTGAGTATGCTGAAAACAGAGACAATATTTGAGCAAACAATAGGAGATGAAACTGACATCTTTTTTCTCATCACAATTTAGACATTTAATATAAAAAAGATATTGGTGATGAAACCATTAAGTGTAAACCCCTAAACTTTGTAGACAAATAGCATACTATATTGCTTTGATAATATATAATAACATGCCTGTGTAAATTCTAAGTCCTGTCTCATATCTTTGTTGAGGGGGGGAGGGGTTTCCTTGATAAACTTTGTTGTAAATATCCGCAGGTTCCCAAAAAGCTTATTAAAATCCTAAAATCAAGGTTTTACTGCCAGGTGTTGGCCTATCCTGAGTATTCTTTTAATTTCTACCTACTAAAGGTAAGGCATAAACTGAAACATTTTTCAAAAAATATAGACTTGTAAAAATATTAATATTTTTTAAGTAGCTATACAAAGTAGTCAATACCTTGTTTGCATATTTCTAATTAAAACCAGACAGAAAAAAAACAGTCTTAAGTTTTAACAGTTTTCTATATACACTAAATAGTTACATTTATTTAAAGGCGTGTTTAAGCATTTAGAGCAATAATTGAACATCTTTCATAGTGAAGGTCCACAAACCCCCAATTTAGACTTACAGAGAAATCAAAAGATTTTCTTTTTTACATTGCCGATAATTGCAGGGTGAGCCTGGTTTTAGTTGACATAGTTAAAACATGTTTCTTTCACTCTCATCCCATGTTTATTGGCCCAATTTATATCCACCTTGTGAGGAGAAAATTCCCTCCTTGTACACCTGAAATCGATTTGACAAAAACATGTCATGAAACACCTGATCTTTGAATTCAAAATCAGAGGTTGAAAATGTTAAGAGACACAGCGCTTTAAGCTGTTCTCTCAGATTTTGTTTTAATGGGGTAACAATGAGGCTACTTAGTGCTGTGAAGCGTTTGAGCTACCATTCTCAACTAACTCTGGGAAGACGGAATTGCTCTTAGAAGCCGTATAGCTACCCTATCAGCTCCATTATGCATTGAACAAGGCTCTACAGCATGCTGAGAGTGCTGCTTTAAAGACAACAAACCTAGGACTAATACAATCTTTGGTTGATGCGAATGAGCTTGCTGAGTGGATGTGCTTGAGTGCACTTGGCATGGCCGTCTATGCCGTGTTGTGGGTCAGCAGCACAAATTCCCAAGAGTCTGCCCTTCCTAAGCTGTGGAGATGAGCTTAACACTTCACAAATGTTTGAAGAAGCCAAAAAGCGCTGGCAGGGAGAGCCTGACATTTCCCGTGTCAAAGCAGTCATCTGAAGAGGAAAAAAAGGTGAGCAGGAAAGGGGAGAGTAGACCAATACAAAATGGACTACATTTAAATGATGTAGACGGTGAGTGAATGCATCTAAACACACTGACTCAGGTATGCATGTCTGAGGTTGTGAGAAAGTGATTTGAAATTTGAGTAAGAAAATAGGAGCAACATATCAGAGCACTGTAATCGATGATTTAGTCAAAAGACGGTGCATAAAATACAAATCTGAATACTACTTTCAACAAGAGCACACCATTATTGTAATCCATCATCAGGATTCAAAACACAGAGCCGACATCTAACAACGCATATCTATTGTCGACCGCAGCCTTGCACCTACACACTCACATACACACAAACAATTAACTTTGCCCCTACAATGTCTTCATGCTCTCCGAAGTGATTGTCCATTCAGCATATTAAAGCATAAATAATCCATGCAGACATATTTCTCTCTATTCAGTTGGAGAAAACCTCTGATAGATTATTCATGTCTCTGCTGCACGTACAACCTTGAGGCATTCTCCTCATATCTATGGCTAACAGTATGACATATGAGAACAGGGGTGACATTCATCTCCCTCTCTCTCTCTCTCGGTTCCTTCACCCTGGCTCAACCAGCTCTCTGGGATGGGCAGGAAAGGCCTCCACCAAGGACACATTTGCCTATGAAGATTTGGCTATTGTGGGACATAGTCTGTTTCTCTACACTCACATGCACCTTGAATTGTCCAAGATAAATTACACTGACAGATATCCTAGACAATGTCCTCTTGTACTAACTTAATAAAGCCCTCTCCCAATAATCTGGTTTAGGAGCATGGTTACTAAGACAAATTACTTGGCTCATCTTTTAATTTCAATTTGCAGGAGATAATTCATAAAAAAACACACAGTTATGAAAGTTTCATTACTTTTCAAGCTGTGAACTTTCTATTGAAAATAAATAATTCTAAAATGTCAAATTAAGAAGTGTTGTGGTCATTTTTTATTCACTTCTCACACAAAGGGCACAGTCACCATCTGGGTAACAAACCGTAAAAATAACAAAGAGCCTGTTCAAAGAGCTCAATCATGTTATCCACTCCTGTCTTCCTCCAGATGTACAAAGTATCAGCAGTACAATGTTTCACTAACTTTGTCACAGTGTTTTTTTCTTTACTTCTTAAGCTTGAAAAGGCTGGTGCCATCACGACAAACAGAGGCATATTGCTAACTGCTAAGGAAAGGAAAGTCTATCAGACAAAAACAATAGTCCTGAGTTTAACAAGTATTTAAAATATAACTTGAAGTTTATCTGTTCATGGCAATTTTTGACCTGCTTATCACTGCCTGATACAGTGTTAAGGCACTGAGAGTAGTCAGCGGGAGAATGTTCCTTAAATTTTAAATTCCTGTCTTTGAGAGAACAGACCACCTGACGGAAATATGATCAGAAACCCAGGAATGAGAAAGATAAAGACTCTGCTTCAAGACAAGAATCACTGAACTCTGACTGAATCCCCTGATTGGTAAGTGAAGAATTATTGGCTCTTACTTTGTTGCAAGCTACTGAAGACACTTGACCTGGATCCCTGGTTATAATCAAATATTACACCTCAGGTGTCAACATAAAATGTTTAATTAAACTCAGTATCCTCCGAGTGCTTGTTGATGCTTTCTTGACCTCAAGCAGGCACTTCTTGGCTTTAGGGCAGATTTCCAATACTAAGAACTGTTTAACAAGGCTGCTATCAAAAAATAATACTTATTTGTATCACTGGTCACTGGTAAAGATTTGTACAAAAGATTTAAATTAATTTTACAGACAATTGGTGACCCCAATATGTTGCTAAGCAGCTAATCAACTGCATGGCAGCAGAGATTTTAGACCCATCTAAAGCCCTCGAAGCTTTACTTGAACATGCCTCTTGTCTTTCCCATTTTGAACAATGGCTAAGAAATTGTGCCTATTGATGTTCAGATTATCCAACAAGAGTGTAGATGCCTACCCCTTTGAAACAAGCAACCATTAATGAACTTTAGGTTATTTTTCAAAGTTTCTTAAGAAAGGCTATTTAGAGGTAGCAATTGATTTAACATTTTTGTTATTGGACTGTAGTAAAAAACATCAGTACCTGGAAACAACCCAGATGTATACAGGTAAAATAAAGCACTGCCATGCAGAATAGACCTTCTTGCCATTCTCTCACAATTTCTTTAAATTAAAATCAAGCTCTTGTGTTGGACACTCCAAAACATTTCCTTTGTTCTCCTTAATCCACTTAGTAACTAATCTGGTTTTCTTCTAATGCCTGTTGCCAGTTCAGGAGACCTGTTTATATTCAAGCTCTAACTTACTAACTCTAACCGGCTGTTGATTGATATGCTCATTATTTTTATATGATGTCCTTCTATTTTCTAAGAATCCCTACTGCAATAAGATACCTACAAAGCATTATGCTGCCACCTCTTTGTTATATTATACTGTTATTTTAAGCTTTTCCCTTTTTCCTCCAGATATAATGATGACCATTATGGCAAAACATTGCAGTTTTAGTTTAACTGGACCACCGGATACATCTAAAAAAAATTAAAGCATTTATTCTGTATGGCACTTTCAATCTGTAACCTTGCAATTTTTTTCTTTTATTAGAGTTATATATTTTTGCCTATTGAGGAGCTTTTTAATACAAGAGCTAAAAAGTGTTTTGCTGTTTTTAATGGATCCCTCTTAACAGCCTCAACCAAAATCCTTACAAGGTCTTTAGTTTTTTTGTTTTTGAATCTGTGTATTTAATATGTTGGCTTGAAATATATAACTACATATGAACTCCTATCTTGTGAATTAACTTAATAAAAAAGGTTACAAAGCATTGGAATTTTAAACATGTAAACTTCTTAACTTGAAGAAAGCATTTATTATCGTTATAGTTAAGCAAATATGGATCATTTCGGTCATCTTAGCTCATTCT